GCACACTCCTAAATTTCTCTTTCAAAACTCCACTTCACACACAATATTAATATAAAAACATTTCTTAGACATTTGTCCTACTAAAAAGGCTGAGGTCCAAATTTTAAAAATAAAATGTTTACGGAGAGTGAATTAATGTTGAGACTTTGTGCACTGATTTTCCCCTAATAGATATTCCTCCATTAAAAGTCACTGAAGTACTTACTTCAGTGGCTTAAAAATTTTTAAAAAGTATTGAGCTGTCACCAAAGGAACAAATAGCAAGAGGGGCAAATCTCAAAATGAGAACATGTGAAAATAAGAATTGAAGACTTCACTTCTAAAAAGTATGGAAATCTGTAACGTTAAGAAGTTTGTATATTTTATGTGGTTATTAAGAGAAAGCAGATATATTGGTCTACCAAAAACTAAAATTTTGACAGCTACCTTTCTGATGTTGTTAAAATAAAATTGTAAAAGGTAAGGAACACCAACGCATCTTTTTCTACACTTCCTAAAACATATTTTAAACTAAGGTGGTTATAACTCACCACATTTTATGATGTTTATTCATCTAATATTCATTTAGTGAATCATAAGCAATGTAAATCTGCACTGAGGACTGTACTACTCTGCAAACTGTTACAATGGACAGCAATAAGATTCCTTTTTTCCTTACATCAAATCATATAAACTTTACTCTTTTTTCAGGTCCCCTTCACTCGAATAATCTTTATGAAAATGAAGTCTATAAATTGTCAAACAGCAATTAGGTGGCCCTCATTTAGGTGGTCATGTTGTTCAGAAAAGAAATACACCTTAGTAGACATAAGACAGTGTAAAATAAAAATTGTGAATAGAATCTTTTTTAAAAAAACACCTCACAGTACAATATGGTCATTTCAGTAAGTACCAATACTGAAAGATAATATAGCTAACTTTAGTAGTCACTGTACCCTGTACAAGTTACAAAAATATTTCCTACAGTTAATATTTGAAACGACCCAAACTTATCAAACGATAAAAATACATACAACCAAACCCTAAAGTTTCCATAAAATTGAAAGACACTAACTTTTTTACAGTCTCCTGTTTAGCACTTCTTTCCAGGCTAGCAGTAAGATACCAACAAATTATTTTTAGAATAACTCAACTTTGCAAATAATATTTTAAAACTGAACAATGGTCCTCATTTCTCCTCTGAGAAATCAGTGCTTTCTTATCATATGGAAATACTCCAATCGCTATTTTCATAAAGGAATTTACCTTCTCACAGGCTAGCTGCTGAAACAGATACCACAACCTACCAGAGGCAAAGTCTTCAATGGCCATTTTAATTTTCCCCCCACAATAAACACAGAACCCTAAAGTGAAACCAAGCAAACCAAAGTGCTTTGGTGCATCAAAATTATTGGAAGTGCGACCAACAAAAAAGCGAGCCCTTCGCTGATTTTTTCCTAAATGATTTTTTTTCATATCAATATTTGGCTCAATAAAACCACAACTCTAGAGATTAAGTCCTTTGATGCAGTATTTGATACTGCTTTCTATGCATACCGTAACTACAAGCACAGTGTTAAAGTTCTGTCACGTAAATGTCATGTACAGAGGCAAACATCTGAAGTCAAAGGCGAACTGGCCATTAATAAGCTCACTGCTCTAAGAATCTGGAAGAATAATTTTAATCTTAAAACCCTGACGATTTTAAAGCAAATGGGTAAAGACAGTATAAACGTACGCTGAATAATAAAAACCATCTACCAGACAGCATTCTAAACATTTTCTTACAGGGGGACTTCTCTTAAAAAGTTAAATAAGTGTTTAATTAATTTGTTCCTATATACCCAGATAACTGTCAATTCCTATCAACAGTAGACTGCTTTAGAAATACATTACAAATCAGAGAAGTGTTTCCATAACTAATTTTCTTATAGGCAAACGGGTCAAGTTCAGCCTCTCTAGTTTTGCGATCAATGCAGACTCTGAAACTTCTAAACACTCCCTTAAAATATTATTTTTTAACTTCACAGAAAACTTACATTTTGTGTGCTACAAAGCTCCTTTTTCAGTACCTTTTCTCTTCACCTCAAAACACACACTCAGGCAAAATGAGCTGTGTACAGCTATGTGCACAGCTACAGAATCCGAAGGACGAAAACCTCTTCAGACAGAAAAGATGTTCTTCAAAAGACAAATCTTCCCCACAATTTTTGGCAGGACACACAGACACCTCAGCACCACCCTACCTTTAAGCAAAAGGCTTAGTGGTATTTGCCAAGAAATAAATTTTTTATCAAGAATGCTCTATTAACGCCTATGCAATTACATAATCTTAACCGAGTGCTGCCCACAGTTACAACTCACATCACCAAGATGTTGGTCTTAAGGGAGGCCTTCTATAAGATGCTTCAGTCACCTCCAACCAAGAACAATTGCTTTTCGTGCCTCCACTTACCAGGAACTCTCCATGTCTGTGATCCTTTCCATTCTGGGGGAAAAAAAAAAGGAGGGGGAGGGGAGCTCCATCCCCATCCTTGATATCAAAACCAGTTTACTACACCTGAACCTGCAAAGATTAATGCCTTTCGAGAACCACTACCTTTAGAGGTACAAGGGCCTAACTTCCAGACAACCAGAACGATACTCTGTTAAAATTCTTGGGTTTCTGTCTTGAATATTCAACAGCCTGAGTCAGTAAATTTAATACAGTGTGTGAAAAACAGCTAACAGACCTGAACGGTCAGAAGCCCGGAGTGATCCACCCTGGCCAGCATTTCTGGTGATGAGCTGGTAAGTGACACTTGACATGATACACGAGCTGGAGTAAAATTAATGCAAACCCCAACGTGTCAGAGGACCCGACCCTGTGATTCTGGCATCACAGGAACCCTTCAGTTCCAGAGAAGAAGTCAAGCTGAATCTCTGCAACACCCTGCAAGCCACACATCATCATCATCATCATCATCATCATCATCCGGGATCAAAAAGCACTCAATCTCCATTCTATTCCGTGTGACAAGACCGCTAGATATAAAGTGCTACTGAACTGCACATTTCGTGCCTCAACCCACATCTCCCCACCAGCAGAGGGGGGAGAAAAACGGCAAATTTAACAAAGATCCAGCAAGAACGCCTTGGGAGGCAGATTACGTATGCCACTATTGATTTGAGGCTCCAGAACTTCCAAATGCCGTTTCAAAGTTGTAATGGACTTCGTTTACAAGCACAAGCCTACTTTTGCCCTCAAAAAGAACACCATATATGCCGAAAAGGATTCTGCTTCCAAAGTTATGCAAATCAGTTCACAACTCACATTAAAAAAAAAAGAAAATCTATCAATGCAACCCAGGAAACTAAAAACAATCACTGCAAGATTCTGATGCAATATGCATACGTGAAACACTAATTTTCATTTTAATCTAATCTGTAGCCCTGATCTAGGGCCTAAAGCCAAGATTTAATCGAAATATGCTCAACCTCAAAGCGTCTACTTTTCTGTTCGTTTAGCAGAGCGGATTACCGAGCTCGCTAATCCACTAACAGCGCGCTAGATTCCGTATTAACGGACAATGGCCCTCAGGAAGAGACCCCCGCGGACACGCCGAGACAAGCAATCTGGTGCCTTGACACTTGCGACCAGGCGGAGAGTCCCACGGAGCCGAACACACCCTAGGCTGAACGCATCCAGAGGAGACACCAAACACACACACGCGATCGGGAAACGCGAGCAGGGTCGGCGGCCACGGGTCCCCCACACCACAGGCATTTTCCGCCTCCGTCTGCTCCCACGTTCTAAGAGACAAGTGACAGAAGGGCAAGGGGGTGGGGGTGGGGGGCAGCCGCAGAAATGGATACAGGTCAAGTCTAAGTCGAATCCATCCTCCTGATATCTCCTTTTGTTTCTGCTAACGATCTCTTTGATGATGGCTGTCATGTCTGGGAGCCTGTGGCTGAAGAAAAAGGAGGAGAGAGATGGCAGAAGCTGCTGGTGGCGGGGCTTCTTCTGCAGGATGGAAATGGCTCTGGACTTGGCGGTGGCGGATGCCCCTCGCTCTGCCGCCGCCTGGCTCTGGACCGCAGCCGGGTAATGGCTGCTGCGGCGGCTGCTGGATGGTTGCAGAGACGGGGCCTGCTTCTCCTCAGCAGCCAGAGGCCTGGCCGCGGCGGCCGCGGGACGGGGAGGCGACGGGCGATCCTCGGGACGGCTGCCTCCGCCGGCGGCCTCCGGAGCCCGGGCCGGGGGGGGTGCGGCGGCGGCGGAGGGGAGGTTTAGAGCCGGCCCGGGTCCCTGGACGTGCCGCCGCCGCCGCCGCCGTGTTGGAGGCAGTAGGAGGGGAGAGACCAACTCTCCGGCGGCCCCAGCCCTGGAAATGGTGACAGGCGACTCCGGCCCCCTCGCCGGGGCTGCAGCCGCCGCGGCCGCCGCCGCCGCCGCTTCTCCCCCCCGCTCCAGGAGCGGGAGGTGCCGCCGCCGCCGCCGCGCCTCAGCCGGCTCCCGCCCGGGCCCGCGGCTTCCACCGTCCCTTGCACGAGAAGCCGAGCGAGATGCTGCACGGTTAGAAGAGAGGACGAGGAGGAGGCGAGAGACGCCGCCGCTGCCGCCGCCGCCGGCCGGCCGGCTCCCCGAGGGCGCTGCCCCCGCGGCTGCTCACAGGCGCTGAGAGGGGCTCTGGGCCGCGGCCGCCGCCGTCTCTCATCTCCCTCGCCTGAGCGCGGCCTCGCCTCACAGCGGCTCAACTCTCAAACTTCCATCATGGCTGCAGCTTCCGAGAGGAGAGAGCGGAGCGCAGCCGCGGCTCGGCGCCCCGACGCGTATCCTGCCGCAGTGCACAAAGAGTCCCGCCACATCACCGCCCGCCCGCCCGCCCCCTCCGCCGCCGCGCCGGGAGCCCGGCGCCTGGGAGCCCGAGGGGAGGCGGGAGGCGGGCGCGACCGCGCCGGGGGAGGGAGGGCCGCGGCGGGGCAGGGGCGGCAGCTCCGGGGGCGAGCGCCGGGCCCCCAGCCTGCGGGCGTCACTGAGCATGCCCAGTGCGAGCGCCCGGGGCTCGCTCGGGCTTGTGCGAGACGCCCGCCCGGAGCTGCACTTGCCGCGGCTGCTTCTGCAGCAGCGCGGGGTTGGGGGGGAGGGGAGGGGGGAGTGGATGTGAAGGAGGGAGGTGATGAGCTGAGCCTCGACCTGAGCCCACAAACCCGGCGGGGACAGGGACAGCCGAAGGTGGAAGCTCAGGGGTGCGTGGATTGGTGTCACTGACTGGGGCTTGAGGTTACCTGTGCACAGGTGGGGAGGACCAGGTGACCCGCGCGGGTCGGGGCACAGGGAAACGCAGGCACGGCCCCGGCCACCGCCCCCAGGCCTCCCCGGCTCGGCCTGCAGCCTCACCCCCCTTTTGCGCCGATGCCGGATCACGATCGCTTGCGGGGACCCGCCTGCAGCAGCCTTTGTGGAGAAACCCTCCCTCCCCGTCCGCCCCCCACCGTGTCCTCCAGGTGTCAGTCTCCGCACAAAGAACAACCCCCTATTGTGTCTCCGTGTGTATCACCTCATCCGGCTCCCTCTCACCGCCCCACCTCCCGCTTCCCCAGCAGCTCGGCTCCTTCGCCCTAAAAACGAGAGCTAGCAGTCGAGCGCGCTGCGTGGGAGCACATCGCCCCCGAATTTCTAGGTTCCCCAGGACCACTGTCCGCCTGAACCGCAAGCGGACCCCGGAGGACAGGACCGAGCCCAGAGCGCCCCGCAATGGCCCCTGGAGAGCAGAGCTTCCCTCCCCTCGGGGCTCCTACTAGGTTCCCCACGACAGGCTCGGGCTCGCGGCTCGGGGGTCTGCCTCGCCCCGCCCCTTTCGGGCCGCTGTGAAAACCCGGCCGGGTGGATCGCCGCGGGCCGGCGTCCGCGCTCCCCGAAAGCGGGCCGTGCCGCCGCGCCGGGACCCGAGTGTGAAATACGGAACGGTAGGAAGCGGCAGCCCCTGCGAGTGGGCGGGGCCGAGGAGACCTAGGAGGGTTCAAAAGGAGGTGGAGGGATACGCGGGCCGCAGTCGGAACTACTTTCAGGAGGAGGTCACGTGTGTTCCTAGTTGGGGAACTTTCCAAATTCCCACTCCCCTATGATGGCTCGGGAGGCAAGTGTTTCGCCTCCTTCGCCCTGGGTGCTCCTGACCGGTACCGGCAGCGGGGACCCCGCGTCTCCGGGTCGTGGCGAAAGAGCAGACTCAGACGAGCCTCCGGCCTGAGCACTGTCGGTGCCGGCGCCTGGGGAGCTGGTTACACAAGCACCCACATTCAAGCACGTGCCCCCGCCACCTCTCACCGCTGGCCGCGGCCGCCGATGCTCGCAGACCACCGAGGGAGAGCTCCCGAGCTGCCCCCACCCCTCGCGTGCTACCTACGGAGCAAGCTATAGGGCCGAGACCCGAGATCGGAGCTCTGGGGCGGCCAACACTACGCGTTCCCAACCGTGGGAGAACGGGCTGGGCCCCGGGGGTCTGGCATCTCCCTCGCTAGCGCCCTGCCCCTTAGGGCGAACCCTTTTCGTGCTTTGCTCACAGGGCAAAAGGGTATCTGCTGCAGCAGCCCGCTGCTTGAATTTACCAGTGTTGCAACAAACTTCCAGTCACTTCCCCTGAGCTGGTGAGCGCGCCCCACCTACTGTAGACTCAGCCGAGTGACTTATCTGGTCCGAGAACCTAGTCAATGGCCGTCAGCCCAGAACAAACCTGTCAAGTCTGCTAACAGCCCCGATTGGTTGACCTATCCCCGTGAGAGAGCTGGTTCAGAAAATTCTGAGAACTGGGGCGCGTTTGCCCTGACATTGATTAGCTGCAAAGTGAGTTGTCCACTTTGTGCTTGAAGAGAATGAGCACCCATCAACACCAATCTGGAATTTCTTCCTTTTCTTTCCCCCGGGAAGTAGAACTCAAGGAGACCATTGGAGTCCAACGTAAGAGTTGAGACCTAGGCTGAGGCACTGGATCGTTTTTCTTTTTCTTTCTTTCTTGCTTCCTTTTTTTCTTCCTTTTTTTCTTTCCTTTCTTTTTTAAAATCTGGGAGAATGGGATCAATTTGCATGTGTATTGCAGTAATTGTGAGTAGGTGCCTAGGCAGGTCTAAAAGGATTTATTCGGTGTCTGAGAAAGAAGAGTGTATATGAGCACATTACAGTTGCAGGCAGCCCCTTTAAGACCAGAAACCCCAAGAGAGCTTGCTTAGAAGCCACAGGCCATTACCTAATTCCAGGACTACTAATTAAACCAGGGATATTTACAGTGTTCTGAGAGATCTCTGAGGCTCCATAACACTTTGCATTTATATACAACAAGATAGCTCTGCAGGAGTTAGCAACCTGCTGAATCTTCAGTGTTGATACTCATGGGAGGCTGTTTTTGTGCATGGTCCTGGGCAGCTTGCAGGAGTGGAGGCCACAAGTGGGAAAAGAAAGGCGGAGGGGTGGGGGTGGGGTTACTCTGGAAAGAGTGCGAGAAAGGCCTCCATTTGTTTCCAAAACTCTTAATCCTGTCCACGCCACCTAGGCTGAGCCAGAGATTTATTTTACAAATAACCAATGATGAGGAATCCCTGATTTCTAGGTGTTCCACTAGATTGCAGGGTGAGAAACTGAGCTGTGCTCCATCAAGTAGCAAATACTAGTTGCTGGGGAAAGGGAAAATGAGAAGGATGTTAAATGAAGGGAGATACTTTGGGAAGGGGTAGAATGCCTCACCTTTGTTTCTCTGGTTGCCAATCTTGTCTCCAGAGTCCCTGCTGTTAGCATGCCCTACTTTGCCCCTCCCCTGGAGCCTCCCCTATGCAAGGATTAGTCTCGCCGCCTCAGCGAAGTTCTGAAATCCATTTCCTGGGAAGGAAATGGGTTCATTCCTGCCTCGTAGGCCTGAGGAGAGAGGATGCTTTTCCATTCCCATGGCACAGAGTTATTCCAGAGCAGAGAGAGTTGCAACCCTGGCACCGAAGTGTTCGAATATGAGACTGGCCCACGGCACTCCCACCGGCAGAGGGAAGAAAGTGGGACCTGAGTTTTGCTGCCTCTCTGAACATGAGGTCCCTCTACTTCTCTCTAGTGGTGAATGGAAGGATCACCACCGCTGGCAGACATTTGCCCAGACTGACAGTAATATCAGGTGGTTATTGGGAGTCACTGAATAAAAACCTCCACCCCTTCCCAGTGTTCATTAAATAGGCTCCTGAAGGAAATTTCAGCTTTCGATTTTTATTTCCCTTCACTTCTTCCTTCTACCCAAGAGATCTCCTTATCCGAGTGGTAGAGCTGAAACCTCGAAATAGCTGACCCTGTCTAATGTACAGAAAAGCTTAAAATCTATTGTTTTTCAACTTCATTTGCAAAGAGCTGCTTGGATATACAGATGTTACAATACATTGGTTTCCAGGCACTTCAGTTCTTTACCTGCCTGGATTCAGAACGCCCTAGGGAGAAACAGAAGCTTGTAACAAAGGGAGAATTATATAAAGCTTCAGGGAGACTATGTAGAATAATTAGTAAACATGATAAACCAGCTTTAATTATAGTTTCTAACAGCTGATTCCAAAACTGTATTGTTACTACACCCAAAGAATGTCCAATGAAAATAGCTTTCTTATTTTCTTTGATAAGTGAAATGACCAGCAACTTGATTTGGGTGATATAAATAGTTGATGTGCTCTTTGTAGATTCCGCTGCTAAAATGTCTTTTGTTGAACGCTGATCGCCATAATGCCTTTCTCATCTCCCACACAGTGACCTTTCAAATAGAGATCTAAATCAATGGCTTTAATTTTTTAAGCAATCTTTTCTATTTTTATTTGTTTTACCACGGTTTTCTGGATAATACAGAATAGAGAAATATAATAATTATAGGTTTGAATTTAAACCACCCTATTCTTGCAAGGGTCCAAGGCTTCTCCCCTTATTTCATTCATCCTAGTTGCAAATATTGCTGTTCTTTTACATAAAGACATTTTACCCAGGACATTTCTCCAGAAGTCACTACAAGTAACCGTATCCTAAAAAAGAATTTTCCATTCTTGTCTATAAGCTCTCCTGGAGGTCTTGCACTTGGGTCTCCTTTCCCATCACAGTAGAGAGGTGTGCTGTATGAAATGCTCGCTCTCAGAGAAATGATGATGGGGCTGAGAATTCCTGAGAGAACCACAGAGCAGAAACGGGCACTCACTGTGTCCAAGTGGTGTTCAGAGATTGTGACTTGGACCAGAGGGTGATGGGAAAGAAAAGCCCTAACATGATCAATCCGTTTTGACTGTTTTACCCTCCAACCCAGCTCTGGCTATTGGATACTCGACCTCACTGCCTTTAGGACTAACTCTGGCTGGAGTCCTATGGAACACACATTCTGGTTCTCAGCTCTTCCAATAATAGAAAAAGGTAATAATTTGTATGTACCGGCAGGTATTTGGGGCATTTGCCAGGTACTTTCCAGAGACCTTCTATCATCTAGGTGCAGGAGAGGTATGGGGAGAGACTCAGGGTTGCCCTGTGCCTCACTCCTACCAGCCTTTCCCTTCTGGCTTCTGAGGCATCACATTTTCTGAAAAATGAAGAGCACCTTTTTGAAAAGTAAAATGAGTGGGGGCCTCTGAGTGGCTCAGTCGATTGAATGTCTGGCTTCAGCTCAGGTCATGATCTCACGGTTCGTGACGTTGAGCTCAGACTCTGGAACCTGCTTCAGATTCTGTGTCTCCCTCTCTCTCTGCCTCTCCCCGGCTCGTCTCTCTCTGGCTCTCCAAAATAAATAAATGTTTAAAAAAATGTTTTTTGAAAGATAAAATGAATGAGACAAACTCTGTTTAAAGTATCTTTTTTGTCTTTTCCATGGTATGGCATCTTTTGTCTCCATTCATTTATTTAATTATCCAGTCAACCAATATTTGGGAGTCTGTCATGTGCTTGTTCTGTGCTAAGCTCTGCGGACAGAGCAATGACTGTGGCATATGGGCTCCAGCCTTTATGGAATTTAGTTTCCTTGAAAATCTGGCTTCTTTATCTGACACTGTTACAGCCTCTTCACAGCCCATGGAGTGAAGTTAAAGCAGTACAAAAACCCTGATATTTGATAACGGCTTTATTTACCTATTGCTGCATGACAGTGGCTTAAAAGAACCACCACAGCCTTATTTTCTCACAACTCTACAATTTGGAAAAGGCACAGCTGGGCCATTCTTCTGCCTTCCCATGCAGAGAGCCCGGGGTGGGGGGTGGGAATGGGCAGATGTGTGGGGGCCTTTAGCTGTGAGTCTGGCTGGGGCCCAGAATGGCCAAGATGGCTTCAGCACCCCCAGCTCCTTTATGCTTTCTTTACAGGCTGATCCCGAGAGAGAAAGCAGAAGCTACAAGGCCTCAGAAAGCCAGGGTCCAGAAGTCCCGGAACATCACTTTCTGGACTTGTGCCAGAGCAGGCCACAGGCCCAGCCCAGATGCCAGGGGACAGGAAAGAGACCACCTGGAACAGAAGGAACTATGGGTGGTCATATTGGGACACACTCCCCGTCATAACAAGTCACACCCAAACTCCCCTGCTCCCTCCCTCCCCTGAAATTGTCACTGTGTGTAGTGCAGGCTCTGAAGATGCGCACTAGGCCCAGTTGACATGGCATTTTAGATGGTGCTTACCAAACTATGATACACACTCGTGTCTGAGGGGGCAATGGGGAAGGCACGAAGCAGCCACCATCCATAGCAGTCCTGAAAGCCGGCCGAGCACTGGCAGCCCCACTCTGGGGACCCAGACTTGCAGGAGGGTCTGGTTCTTCTCCCTGGGAGCCTCCTGGACCACGGTTCCGGGGCCCCTGCTCTGAGGGGCAGGCTGTGACCTCTGAGGCTTCCTTTTCCATAGGTCACTGCCTGTCCTTTACCATGGGACAGCTTCTCTCAGGCTGTGTCCAAGCCACTTGGGGAGCCCAGTGGCTTTTTTTACATTTCAACTGTTTCTTCTTTAGTTCAGGCTGGTGGTGGTTTATCAATATAACTGTCATTAAAATGTTGGGGGTTTTCTACGACTCTTACTGGAATTTACTCCTTGCCTACAACAACTATGCCCAGAAAGCCACATCTATAATTCTTCCAAAAACAAACTTCTGCCTGCTTTGGGCCTTGTCAAGGAAGCAGTTGTTGGACTCCTCTTAAGATTCTTCTTAGGGGCACCTGGGTGGCTCAGTCAGTTAAGTATCTGACTTCGGCTCAGGTCATGATCTCACAATCTGTGAGTTTGAGTCCCGTGTCAGGCTCTGTGCTGACCATTCAGAGCCTGGAGCCTGCTTCGAATTCTGTGTCTTCCTCTCTCTCTGCCCCTCCCCTGCTCACTTGCTTGCTGGCTCTCTCTCTCTCAAAAATAATGAATAAACAGGGGTGCCTGGGTGGATTAGTCGGTTGGGCGT